AATGGGGCAGAAACTCTAACGTAAAAGGATCAGAAAAAGATATAAAGTTCTCAAAATTATTTTTCAATCATGTATCACACTAAATAAAAAAGAGTTATAAAGAAAACTCGATTTTGGCTATTTTTAGGAGTCGCCAAGGACTAAAAATTTGTATAACCCTAAAATCCTCTCAAAGTAAGCCTTAAAACTAGGGAGTGTATATGTATACAGGGTGTCCGGGCCCACCCACCTACCCCTCTAAAATGAAGGGAAATGTTTTTTATTGATTAACGCAAAAATGCTCTATCTTATGGTGGTATTACCGTCTTCCGGTGNCGAGTGTATATGTATACAAGGTGTCTGAGACCACCCGCCCACCCCTCTAAGATGGAGGGAAATGTTTTTTATTGATTAACGAAAAAATGCTCTATCTTATGGTGGTATTACCGTCTTCCGGTGTCGACCGGAAGTGAGTTAAACTGACCGGAAGTTACTTTTTTTTAATTAGACATACATGTTTTTACTACTGCTTCGGATTCTGTGGATAAAAATACGTAACTTTTGTTTGCAACTTTTTTTTCGGAAGTGCCTTTTACACCCACAACTAACCTTCGAAATTAAACTCGTCCTGGGCCTCTTAAATGAGGAAAATATGTTAATTCGAAAANAAGTGAGTTAAACTGACCGGAAGTTACTTTTTTTTAATTAGACATACATGTTTTTACTACTGCTTCGGAGTCTGTGGATAAAAATACGTAACTTTTGTTTGCGACTTTTTTTTCGGAAGTGCCTTTTCAACCCACAACTAACCTTCGAACTTAAACTCGTCCTGGNGAGTTATAAAGAAAACTCGATTTTGGCTATTTTTAGGAGTCGCCAAGGACTAAAAATTTGTATAACCCTAAAATCCTCTCAAAGTAAGCCTTAAAACTAGGGAGTGTATATGTATACAGGGTGTCCGGGCCCACCCACCTACCCCTCTAAAATGAAGGGAAATGTTTTTTATTGATTAACGCAAAAATGCTCTATCTTATGGTGGTATTACCGTCTTCCGGTGTCGACCGGAAGTGAGTTAAACTGACCGGAAGTTACTTTTTTTTAATTAGACATACATGTTTTTACTACTGCTTCGGATTCTGTGGATAAAAATACGTAACTTTTGTTTGCGACTTTTTTTTCGGAAGTGCCTTTTCAACCCACAACTAACCTTCGAACTTAAACTCGTCCTGGGCCTCTTAAATGAGGAAAATATGTTAATTCGAAAACGAAAAAATGTGAATTACCATGTTGCTTCATATTTGGTTCGTATTGCCGACTTCCGCTTTCGGCCGGAAGTCCATTTTTTAAAAACGGACATACATATGTACATGTTCTTACCACGGAATCAGATTCTGCGGACAAAAGTACATAATTTAAGTCGGGAAATTCTTTCTGGAATGGATTTCCTGTTTTTTTAATGCTCTTCCGGTTGAAACTGGAAATCGGTAATAGCACCAAAAGATAGAGCATCCCCGACATGGATTTGGTAGGTAATATTCTAGAAGTGTTAATTTTCTTAGCAAAAATATTTCATTTTTAACTCTTCCGAAAATAAGAAAAAGTTCAAGTGATTTCATCATTCAATTTCAGCTGAAAATTATTTTTGCTTTGTGTTTTATGAAAACGCAGGATATGTACATACATATGTATGTATTTGACACCTGTTGATTTTAAATGCGCAGTTAAAATAAATTTTCTGCAAAAAGTTCTAACATTCACGTTCAATCGCCAGCTTTCCCACCCACAATTTTTCGATAAGAATCATTGTAGTCGTCCAGCGAAATGAGCTGCTGTGTGGGTATATGTATTCATCTATACATACATTCATACATATGTACATATACATACATATGTATGTAATTCATCTACATAATTGCGATACTTAACCAGTCAGCAACTTTTAACTCTTAAGTTGGCTTTCACTTTGTGGTTGCTCTTTTAAGTTTGAAGTAAATTGCATGGTTGGAGGCTATCTATTACATACTTATGTATGTATGTAGTTATGTGTGTATAAATGTATGTACGCATGTTTGAATACTTGTGTGTGATATGTTTTCCTTTCATATAAAAAAGCAAAAACAAAACTATATTTACTCACCTATTATGTAGTTAGATGGTAAATAAGAATATCTTAAGAGGAACAAATTTACACGGACAGTACCAGGCAGTTTTCGAGGAAATGGGAAATTAAAAAAAAAATCTCAGCTTTTTCTAAAAGCATTTTGTTACAAACTTTTTAGTGGTAAGCTAAAATGTGTATTAAGTGGTGTGACGATTAGGTTAATTTTAACGGGCCCTTTAAATTATAAATTGCGTTCAATAATAACATGTTAACCACTAATTAGTTCAAGAAAATAATCTCATAAGAGAAAGTAAATTTTTAGCAACCCAAATTTGTAATACGCCAAGTTAAAAAAGCGTAAAATCACATAGCTCTGCATTCAGATGTTAAAATTGTTTAATCGCGTCAAAACATTTTATTCAAAATCATTATAATAGAAAAAAAAAATTATAATTTCCTTAACCTATAAATACTAACACTTTTTATTTATGTATGTATTTACCTGTACTTGTATTGTTGAGCTTTCGAATGCAAAAAACAGCATAGGAATAATGTCAGTGGTGACATCGCCCGGTGCGGTCTTCTCAATAATCAAATGCAAATTCTCCAGTAAAGTCACAGTAGCCTGGATGGATTTAGGTGAACCGAAAATAACTCTGTAAGGAGAAAATTTCAAATTGTTTAGCAAACGATCGCTAAGAAAACTAACAAGTATGGTAAAAATTCACAATAGCTACGAACACACTTTAACACTTATTTGAGTTACTGTAAATCGGGAAAATTTTGCAAATTTATTTTAAAAATAAGATCTCGAAACAAGGAGAATGGCTTTTGAAGAAAAACCTTAGGTATATCTCATTAGTTCAGTTCNGCAGCAAGTATCTGCTGTAATACTATAAGTTTATTTGAATTCTATTTTTTGATAGTGCAAACCGGACGCAAAGAAACGGCGCTGAGTATTAATTATCTAATCAGCAACTACTTGCCAACTAAAAGCGGAAGCGTCCGATGACTTCAAGAGATGAAGCAAGGAGAATAGAATGCATAAATTATTTGGTAGTTGCACTGCAAGGCGCAGTAAATTTGCAGAAGATAAAGAACATTTTAACAAATACTTTTGTATGCAGTTGTCTGCTGCGAGCCATTGGTAGGGTTACCAGATGAACATTTAGCTTGGTAGGGCAATTGAAACAAAAAAGGAGGACATTTACTACAGGTAAGGTTTAAAAAGAGGACGCCTGCGGAACAATATATTTTGATAAAAACATTTTAAATAAAAAATATCGTCGCTTGGCATCTAATACCGCATATATTATAGAATAGTATATTATAGTCGGAAAATTTCACAAAAGTGCATATAAATGTATCTTCTTCTCAACTTTTGAATGATTTTCTAACTGAACTTATTAACTATGAGCTTATACTAAAATTATTGACCATTAAATTTATAAAGTAGGCCAGCACTGAGACAGGGTACCGAAAATAATTTGTTTCCTCAGCCACCTCATACGTGGACATACCACGCCAAGCGACGATGTGTACATATGTACATATGCACTTGTGGTCAGCCGATAAAGGTAAGTGACATTGTGACCAGTTTGGCTATTTTTCTTTTCTTTATAATTTTTTACAAAAGTCTAGGGATTATACATATAACAAGCACCATATAAATCCAAATTTCAAACTTTGTACAAAAATTATAAAGGTTCAACAAATTTTAACAATTTCCGTAAACAATTTTAAAAATTTTATTCAGAATTTTTAGAAAAATCTTATATGTTCAGTTATATGATTTTTAATAATTTTTTACAAATAAAAAAAATCAACTTTAGAAATACATATGCGAAAAATACAAAATGCGTAAAAGGAGAACATTTCAGTCATAAAAGAGGACATATCGGTTTTAGGCAAAAAGGAGGACATGTCCTGGTGATGGTGGAGTGCAATAATACCATACGCAATAAGGCCATATGGTCTCATTTCCATATTTTTTTTTGAGATATAACCATATGACGTTATTTCCAATCCAAAAATGAAATAAAGTCATATTCAAAAATGTAAAAATTAGTAATAAAGTCATAAGTGAAATTACAACCGCTTCAACTAATAATGCATGTCTGGCAATACTGTTCGTGGATCACATATTTTTTCTATTAATTGACCGTGGGCGTGCTTCTTTATTATTCAGTCCGGAACTAGAAGATAATAGTCGTTTATTTTATCAGGAACAATGGTTATAAAGAAGCAGAAGATAATGAAATTATTAGGTATCAGCTTATTAATATTTAATTACATTTTTTCGTAAAACAATTTGTAAACACCTACTTGGTTTCTCTAGCGTCATTATTTTCATGCAATATTCTATGAATTCCGTACTAGAGACGAAATGAAATTATTATCCGGCCTCATATTTTCCGGGAACAACGTTCTAATGAATAAGTGAACAGAAAGATGTATTGCAAATGTTCGGAATGTGAATAAAGAAACTCTCGCCGTGTGTTAACATTGTTACGGTAATTTGTCAGTTTAAGGATACTTGGGAAAATCATTGGTAATTATAAAATTATTACGTCAAAAGGGGCAGGCATAATGTGATCAGCCTTTGTGCGGCAGCCAACCGCTGTGGAGCCCTGGCTCACGGTAGAAAGAGAGGGAGCTTTTCAATTAAGGACTCAGTGAAATCTGCGGCGGCTTAATCTGTAAGCCTACATCTATGTAGCTTGCAGCTGGCTAACAAATGCTCGCATTAATGGGTTATGCATTGGACTTAGAATCTGCAAGCTCTAAAAACAAATCTCTATCCGTAGACAAGGGCGTAGCCAGGTAGGGGCAGATGCCAATTTAAAAATCGAATTTTGTTATGGAAAGCTATTTGATTTTTAAGTAGCTAATCAAATCTTTTCATGAAAAACACTAAATGTCGGTTCTCAGATTTCGCTCCAATTAATTGGATTCTGGATAACCGCATTAATCAATTTTCGATCTAGTCGAGCTCACAGTGGCGGGTCTGAGCTCGTTGTTCCTACGCATTTTCACTCAGAGATCTCATTTCTTGTTTAAAGGAACGGAATTAAAGGAATATTTTTGAAACCTTTCAAATTAAAAAATATTCTCGTTTTATGGAAGTTATTAGCCAATTAAATTTTCAAACTTAAACGATAAAGAATATCTTTAGTTAAACGTTTGCATATTATTATATGTAGTTATTAACTCTCTCATTCCCGAATTAAATTGGATGGAGCTAAAACTTTTACAAAGTTTTCTAACAAAAACTAAAAACAATTTTTAAGATTTGATGTTTTCATTTCATTTGCCTTAATCCTGAACGGGTAATCTTCGTCGATTCGACGAACACTGTTGCTCGTTTTCAATTTTTCTCGCCATCGGACTTAAGAGCGAATTGCTCTAAAATATAAAAAAGCTTAAATAATAAGTAGCAACTGTGTTTTCTTTCTAGTTAAGTTTCATCATTATTAAAAGTAGTTTGGCAATCTTGCATGTAATATTTTTCTTACAAAAAATGGGAGAAAAAAAGGACTTCGTCGATTCGACGAAGATTACCTTTAACGTGTGTAAAATAACGTTACCCTTTAAGGGTTAATAAGTTTCATAATCTAAACCCCTTTGCATATGAAAAAATATAACTTTTTATGTGTATTTTTGTAAATGTTGCAGAAGCATTTTCAGCAACATTTATGTTGCGCACAAGTAGCCACAAGGAAAAGACGTTAAAAACTAATTTGTTCCATAATTATGGCATGAAATTCAGCTTTTTGCCATCACAGAATTTCAAAGTGTTATTAACGCCGAGATTTATTAACCAAAATTTCAACATCGGGTATGAGAGGGTTAAAGCGATTTTTCAAAACTCACTTCATTGTAGGTGCCATAATCGACTCGTATTCACTGGGAGATGCTTCTTGTATGAGTGTAATGACCGGTTGTAAAACTGCTGCCAGTACTTCTCCATTGCTAATTTCAGCCTGCAACATTGGCCACACATTTTGCCACCATAATTTCTGCAATAAAAATGTTAATTGTTAGTCACGTAAAATAACTGGTCAGTATGCTCTCTTTTACACAAGTATTTTATGTGCAAACATATGTTCCTTGCATTATTTTATGTATTTGTATTACGTATTACACCTTGTGTGAAATTCGCAAGTCATAAAATTTCCAAAAATATCGTTAGCGACAAGATCCTGTATGTAGTCGCCTTTGTGGCAACAGGTACTTTTATGTGCCATGCAATTGGTGTGGAAATTTTATTTCGCCATTAAGCGCACAGCTGACTCCGACTACCACTTTCAGCTTCACGAAAAATAAATATTGTAAGTATGTATATATGCATGCAAGTATGTACGAGTATGTGAGTATATTAGCAATGCCAGTTTCATGTTGGTCCCTTTGCCTTTTACGGTCACTACACCTGTTGCAATGATGATTTCTTATTTAAAATGAGTTAAGTGTAAGGGAAGAGCTGTTTGGTTGGTTCATTGCTTTGATATTTCTTATGCACAAGCGTGTAAAATTTCACGCTTTCACCCAAGTGCCGCGTAAAGTGCACGCATACATAAAATATATACAGTCAGCGTCAAAAATATGCGTACCCTGACGTTTTTATGATTTTATTTATTCATATTTTCAATACCAAGTGTTTCTTATTTTTGTATGAAAATATACGTAGTTCATTCAACAGCAAAAACTACAAGAATATTTTTTTTTTAATTCCATGCAGGACTCGGGAAAATGCAAGAAATACCAAGCAGTTTTCAACTTTTTAATTCGATTTCTTGGAAAAATTTCCGTATTGATTGATTTTGTCAGCCCATCAAGTTTTAGTACAATAAAGTGCAAGTTTCAAGTCGCTAAAAACTACAGTTAATTTTTGCTATTTTTTTCGAGGGTGTTGTGGATTTTCTTCCTAAAAAGCATGAAGAAAATCTATTTTTATATGGAAGAAAATGGGCAACACTCACTTTATTAAACTTAAATTGAACGTGCTACAAAACTGTATACTCACTTTTTCTAAGAAATCGAATTGAAAATTTCGATGAAAATTTCTTGACTTTTCTTCCATTTTATCGAGTTCTGTATGAAATTAAAAAAATCGATTCTTGTGGTGCGTAAACTATATTTTTAATAAAAAATTAGAGAAATTTGGTTTGGAAAATATAAATAAATAAATACGTCAAAACGTCAAGGTGAGGATATTTTCGACGCAGACTGTATATACATATAGTAGATGGTTTGCGTAGGCTACTTACCCTGGGTATCAGCGGCATCGCTTCCATTAGCGTATTTTTATAGAAATGAGATTTTTGCGATGTATCCTTCATGTTGACCACATCCAAGAACTTAAGTGCATTTACGGCGGGATCGCTAAAAGAAATAAAAATATACATTTTTACCAACATATGTATGAGTATTTGAGTATTTTTATGGCTATGGAGTGAAACAGTTACACGAGAAAAAGAGTACAAAAATATATTCAGAGAAAAGTAGAATATTTCCTTTTATCAAAAAAAAAGAAAACAATAATAAAATAAAAATAAATAAATGCAGTCTGTTCTACAACTTTATCTTGAATAAGATCAACGAACTGAGAACTACCACCGACGGTATGGAGGGCTGAAATACTTCCACAAAGTCAGAATCACATGTTATACAACTCGCCCTTTAAAAAATAACCTACTTTTAAATTTAAATTAAAAACAAATTTTTTTTTACTCAAACAAAGTTGATTAAATTTTCAATATTAAACACAGTGCATATAATTTTGTAACTCTTTAATTGAAAAGAAAGCAAAAACAAAAAAAAAATACCAATCTCAACAAGGTGCGAAAGCTCGAACGGCCTGAAAGCTTCTCCCACTTCTCGCCGCCTAAATATAATACAGTAAAAAACGGTCTACTCGTTAATGCACACCACCATGCACACAATACCAGCCAAGCAGACTTAAGCCTTGCGGGTAATGTACTTAACCTGTGTAAACAGAGTGTATCTCGTTTCAGCAAGTTAGAAATAAAAGANTGGAAAATATAAATAAATAAATACGTCAAAACGTCAAGGTGAGGATATTTTCGACGCAGACTGTATATACATATAGTAGATGGTTTGCGTAGGCTACTTACCCTGGGTATCAGCGGCATCGCTTCCATTAGCGTATTTTTATAGAAATGAGATTTTTGCGATGTATCCTTCATGTTGACCACATCCAAGAACTTAAGTGCATTTACGGCGGGATCGCTAAAAGAAATAAAAATATACATTTTTACCAACATATGTATGAGTATTTGAGTATTTTTATGGCTATGGAGTGAAACAGTTACACGAGAAAAAGAGTACAAAAATATATTCAGAGAAAAGTAGAATATTTCCTTTTATCAAAAAAAAAGAAAACAATAATAAAATAAAAATAAATAAATGCAGTCTGTTCTACAACTTTATCTTGAATAAGATCAACGAACTGAGAACTACCACCGACGGTATGGAGGGCTGAAATACTTCCACAAAGTCAGAATCACATGTTATACAACTCGCCCTTTAAAAAATAACCTACTTTTAAATTTAAATTAAAAACAAATTTTTTTTTACTCAAACAAAGTTGATTAAATTTTCAATATTAAACACAGTGCATATAATTTTGTAACTCTTTAATTGAAAAGAAAGCAAAAACAAAAAAAAAATACCAATCTCAACAAGGTGCGAAAGCTCGAACGGCCTGAAAGCTTCTCCCACTTTTCGCCGCCTAAATATAATACAGTAAAAAACGGTCTACTCGTTAATGCACACCACCATGCACACAATACCAGCCAAGCAGACTTAAGCCTTGCGGGTAATGTACTTAACCTGTGTAAACAGAGTGTATCTCGTTTCAGCAAGTTAGAAATAAAAGAAATGCTGACAACATTTAAATTATCTTTAAAGTGGTTTAATCTCCAGCAGAATGGAAAGCGTAAATATTTGCATGCTTAGGAGTTTCAATTTGTACTTGCACTTGCCTCGCCACTTGAGCCGCATTATTTCATTTTACTGTTTTTCTATGGCTCTTTCGAGGTTACACTCAAGTTCTTAGTTAGGTATTTACGTTGAGAAAAATGTGATAGTAAACTCCTTAAATTTTATAATTATAAATTCTGTTCCTTCCGAAATTTGTGAAATGAATTCAAACTAATTGAGGAAAAAAAGTTGAGCTCACAATATAATCATAGAAAATTGTAGTAAAATAACAAACTTGAAAAATGCTTTTAAGGTTAAACGCACTGAGCACTGTTTTTGAAATTTTCACGTTCTCGTATGCGTGCAAAATTTTTCTCTACCAAAAAGTAAGTAAAATTACTCTTGCAAATAATTATAAGTCTGAAATCGGTTAAAAAACCGCCAGATGCAATCATATGGAATACCTAAGGAGGTCTGAAAATATTGAAAAGATATAAAAAGTATGTTTATTTCATTGTTATGATGGAAAAGTTGGTACAATTGTACTTTTTTCAGCCCTTTTATAGTTTGAAAAAACATTCGGTATGTACACCATTTTCGGTAAATTTTCTTCTTAGCCAAATAAATTGTCCTAGAACTTTGTTCCTCCTTATAGTTATGCCAATCCAGACGAATCCATCTGGGCTTGGATAACATACCCGTAAGGGTCACAAAGCTTGTGCAGATTTGTTCTCTCGAATGCACTTGAACATACCTGCTAAGCCTAAAAGCCTGATTATGGCAACTTAACTTAACTTAAAGGAACGTAGAACTTAGAGAATCAAAATGAAACAGATTTCGGCGTGGCATTAAGTTGCGTTAAGTTTCGGCTGTTCAATTATAAGCAACACCCATTTAACAGAATTTTTAAGAGAGAGCCTTAAGTTAAGTTAAGTTGCCATAACCAGGCTTTAACTAATCACCTGACTCACAGTATGCTGGCTCCTATGTAAACAAAGTCTTTTATAACTTCGAAGTAGTGCTCCCTCTCTTTGTTGCTAGGAGCTTTTCCCCATTCCCCGCTAAACCAATCTCTTTTCCTCTCTTCTTAAGGTTGAGTAAAGGCTCGAAAGGTTCAAATGTAAAAATGTCAAATAAGTGAAAACATATTTTGAAATGGAACTAATGTGCCTCGACGTACTAGTCTTTTCAGACGATCTGAGCAGATTAACACGCGAAAATACGCTAGTGTTTTCAAACCACCTGAAACCGGTTGGTTATGTACTTGTGTATATACGGTATATAGGTGTATTATTAACAGAATCAACATTTTGGCGCCATATGAAGCGACCAAGCGAATGCGAGAGCTTGGCTTACACACATAGAGGGTGTGGGCGAGCAAAAGTTTCAGAAGCATAGTCAAAAGAGCTCCCAGTGAGTGGTGGCAAGTTGTTGCAGCACGTATACAGGGGTTGAGGCAATATAATGATTCGAATTGTCTAAAACTTGGTTTGGTCTCTAAAAGTTCTTCCAGTTTGAACAGAGCTTAACTTATTAGGGAAGGTGAACCCAAAATGAGGCGTGAAAGATTCCCTTCGTGTTTTCATACTGTGAAATGTGTGAAAAATGTACATTCGTCAGCTTTTAGGTACAATTTTTTCCTCAAACTAAGTACAATTTGAAGATTTGATTTTCTATCCCTGTTCTATACTCTATTTAATGGCAACATCATACATAATGAATCGTTATCTAAAATACGTCTCCAATATTTATTTCGAATACTTTGGCTCGTACGAATTTATTTTGTGTGGTATATATTGTTCGGTCGGTACTCATGACTGGGAAATTCGTTTTCCCTTTATGTCAGGCCATGCGGAAGGATCGAATTGTAAGAAATCCATATCCATTAGTAGACGACCAAAAAATTAATGAACTTACTAATATGTATCATTATTTTAGAATAACTTCATATGTTCAACTGTTACAGTCAATCGGAATATTGACCTTTTCATGTTCGTCATTCAAATTACTCAGTGCTTTGACCATTTTTTATTTCAATTTCAAGGAAAACAGCAACAGTCACCTCTGACCAATACCATAAACTCTTTCAACGAAATATACAATCGCATCGTGAATGAATTCTAAATGGTGGGGTGGTGTATTTACAGCGCTCAGCATTCGAACCAATGAGAAATCAATAAAAATGAAAATGTTTCGAAGGCCCTTCAATTTGAATGCCACCATCTCGGATTGTTCACGAAAAATAAATATTGTTGCAACAAATATCTTTCGGACATGACTCTTGCATGCATTGTTATCCCAGGTAAACGCAATTGTGTGAAGTTTGTCTTCAACAGTCTATCTAAGATTCCACTCTTGAAATCTTCTTCTTTTTGTCAATGGCTTATTAACATTTTATTTTGTTATATTTTTATTGAGCTTTGTACCACGATTATTTACTAGGAAAAATTGAAAAAGCAACAAATTCTAAGCGGTAGAATATAGCAGCTATTTCGGAGATCCCCACATCTCCTCATCAGACTTATTTTTTCTAGACTTCAGCAGGGATCTTCTTTTTATTTGGCGCTGTAAGCGTCTCAGCGATTTTGACCAAGTTCAGCAAAGCACGCCAGTCGTTTCTCTTCTGTGCCAACTGGCGCCAATTGGAAATGCCAAGTAAAGAAAATTCCTTCTCCACCTGGTCTTTAAAGCGCCATGGGGGCCTCCCTCTTTCTCTGCTACCACCAGCGGGTTCCGATTTGAATACTTTCAGAGCTGGAGCGTCGGTGCCCATTCGAACGACGTGGCCAAGCCAGAGAAGCAGCTATATTTTAATTCGCTGAACAATGTCCATGTCGTTGTAAAGCTCATACAGCTCATCGTTCCATCGACTGCGGTACTTGACGTCGGAGCCGCCTCATCCGATGTTGTCATTGTCTAAGCTTCTGCGCCATATACCAGCAGGGGCATGATGAGTGACTTATAGAGCGTGGTTTTCGTACGTCGAGAGAGGACTTCACTCCTGAATTGCCTACTCAGTACCAGTTGTTGGCAACGAAGATTCTGCGTTGGATTTCCATGTAGCCATTATTTACGGTGCTAATGCTACTTAGTTCCCAAGTAAACGAAATTCTCTACTTTTTCGAAAGTACAACTGTAAACAGTGACGTGAGTGCCAAGGCGCGAATGCGCTGACTGTTTGTTTGATGACAGAAGACACTTCGTTTTGTATTCGTTGACGACCAGACCCAGTCGCTTTATTTCCTTATCCAACTTCGAGAAGGCAGAAGAGACTTCGCGGTTCTTGATGCCAATGATGTCGATGATGTCGATGTCCGTCAGCAATTGCACGCTCTTGTAAAAAGTTGTTCCTGAGCGGTTCAGTTCCGCAGCTCTTATCATCTTCTCCAAAAGCAGATTAAAGAAATCACATGAAAGGGGTAGCCCTGTCAAACATGCAAACATCCTGGTCTTCCCTCGCACTGAGTTATTTAAAAACACTTAATGCCTTTCAATGGTCGTAAAGATGGCAAGGATTATAATAATTATAAGTGGTACTAGTTATGATAATGGTAACGCTAATGTTAACTGGTAACAATTTGGAATAGTAACTGGTAACGGCAACGGTAACCTAATTCGGCAAGAAATTACGGAGGTCCGTGGGAAAGTAAAGATTTTTCAGTCATCCCGTGACTGGGTTGCAATCAGTAACAACTCTTTTAAGTATACATAGGTACATAATTATTATATGTATATAAGTCCTTTTTTGTATGCTGCTCTCGGTACGTTATTTTCTTACCAACAGCAAGCGTTACAAACATCAATGTCATTGCCATTCTCACAACACAGATTCACAGAGTAAAAAGACTTAAGTATGTACAGCTGCATTGAAAAAGTAAGGTCGCATGGCTAAAAGCATTGTTAGCATCAACATCCTGTGAAGCAGACGAGAGGCAGATTAACTCAAGGCCACAACAGCAGGAACAGCTGTATTTACACCTTTGCTTTATGTTGGCCTTGATTACTTAAGATTTTTCTTAGCGCGTTGTTTACTCAACTCAGGCTACGTCAGTTTAAAGCAGCTATATATTTATTTTATACTAAATAAACATAAATACATACATATGTATGTAAAGTATAAGCACATTAGAGTGGAGCGGAAAAAAATGTCGATTACAAAATTGTAAGAGTGCGGACCGTGTTAAATTTTTCTAGAAAATATTCAACAATTTATATTGAACTCGAGGCCGTTTTTAATGAAAATTCATAGAAGTATATAGCTGCTACTTCGGAGATCCGACTTTAGATAGATAAGCCTTACATCTTTC